TATAATGACCAGTTAGTGTAGATAGATCAGTCAATGAAGCTTGACAACACAACTAAATTACATTTCTTCCTGTTCCATTACTCTACACTTAATCGCAAATAAACTTATTACATTGCTATATCTCACGTGACAGATGCCACAAAAACGTTTGTGATCGAAGCACAGTAACAGTTTCATTATCTTCTTATCCTGTTGTAACATACTGCCGTTTGATTAGTGTTTAGATATTTTGACGGTGTCACAGATGGTGTGAGTTGGTAAGAGCCAAATGAGGCTAGCGTGCAATTCCGTCAGTACATGTAAATTAAATACATTCAGAATTGACTTTATCATCTAAAAATACACATTCATCAACCATTTATTTCTTGATATACTTTTTAAATTTTATTTTCTCATTTGCTAATTGGATAAAGTATGGCGTTCATTTATCAAGTTATTTAAAAGGAAAAAGAAATATGCAGTTAATATATCAACAGGCAATGAGAATATTTTCAAATATATTGATTTCAATGTACACGTATTAGTGATTGATTAATTATAAAGGGCTAAATGATACTGACTGTTTGTGGGTCTAGTCTGAAATATAGTTATCAACTAAAGTGAATCAGCAGCTTAGTTCATTCTAGGGAAGTTTTTTGTTGTATTACAACTGAAGGCTTCATTTAGAACCCAGTGAATAATAGTTATACCCTATGTAACTACCACAAACTAAGTATCACTGTCTGAAAGCAGGAACGGGTTACACAGAACCAAGTTACCGCGGTCTACTGGATTGTTTATCAAGCCTTTTTGAGTCACACACAGTCAAAGATTACACTTAATAACATCAATGAACAATTTAACGCGGTACTATTAAACAACAGCAGAAATGCCTCAACAACCCCATTGGATAAAGATTTCTCTTCAACAGAATACGTTCTATATAGCGAAAAATTGTTAACTAAGTACAACTCTTGGATAGATGAGATTCCACAAGAATATTCCCAACAAAATGAGACCGAAATTCTGTCTTCGAGAATCATATCGAGAATTTGAAGCAGGCAGTCAACAATCATACAATTTAACCATGGCTTAACCATGAGTTTAGCCAAATAAAGTGTTAACAGTAGTCAAACAGCGATTTGTTTTCAGTAATTTGACATCATACAATAATACTAAGAACAAGTCTCAACTAAACAAATTCAAATAATATTGCTGAAGTCAATTAAGATGTATGTAAATCAAAATAACTCTATTGCACAGGTCAGGATAAACAGACAGCACCTACAAAATGAGTTTACACTCAAAAAAAGAAAATCAATACTGTTAGGCTGAATCCTCAGAAGGTATTTTAAAATCATTGAAGTTAATTCACCAACTATAAGGGTGAAATATGCCTCACTATGAGAAAACAGAAATTAAGAAATAAAAAACAAAATATAGAAGATAACAGGTTGGTATGTTTAGCACATATCCAAGCTACCTAAGTTAACAAACCAGTCAGATAAGTCGAAAAATTTCAATCTCTAGTACAAAGAGTGACTTAATGGTGTGACAGTGATTGTTATTCTCTAACTGATAAACTGTTATTACTTCTTGGTAAGCTCTTACACTTTAATTTAAGGAGTGAATTACACGCAAACATTTTCAAGTGTTATTTTACAAGTATTTGATCGGTTTCAAGCCTAATCACGGATTGATGTCAATTAAAGAAGCATTGAAAGTCAAGAAGTACAGGAAAACTGTCTCATCCTAATTTGGGATCCTTCAGAATCGCACACCCATGATCCCATCATCAGGGACCGAACATAGGAGCTTGAGGTTAGGATGCGTTCTCATTAACCATCCAGTCACTGAGGCAGAATCCATTGGCCGAACCATGAACAACAATTCTTAGAGCCACCGTAAACCAATGTCACTGGAGAGTATTTGTTCTCATTCCACTGGTCACAACATTTCCCTAGAACTCCAAGAAACTTCGGCCTGTAGCCAGTCACTAGTGAGCATTAGAAGCTAGAATTTATAGGCCATTTGATTCCAGCCTAAGTGGCTGAATGGTCAACGAGTTCGCCTCCTAACCTCAAAGTCCTGCCTCCAATCCATGGTGGTAAGGTCATTGGTGTGCGGTTGTGAAGAGTCTCAAACTGGAGGGGGGGAGAAACATCTTTCCGGTGCTCCTTGACTTTTAACTGACATCAATCCGTGATCAAATTTGATATACATATTTACTATTCATATTTTACTTTGGTTAGTAGTAGCTTGCTTGTGGTATTGGTAGAAAGCAAAAATTCAACACCACAATACACTCAGATACTGCTAAGCTTACTGCATTCTTATTTTGTTTTGATGCGTATATACATTATAGAGACGAAGAAAAGCCTTGACGTAGTCAACAAACTCGTGATTGACAATTTGAAATGAAAAAATCTATACAAAGTTCTCAGATGAAGTTTTTTTGAATTACACATAATATCACATTTTCATTATAAATGCGCTGATGGACTACTATTGTTATAATTATTAATAATCATCAGTTTAAAGTATAACGGTTTTTATTGAATTTCAAAAAATCATATTTCTAAATATAAAACAATTTAATGCGAGGAAAACAACCACAAGGTCACGTCAAGTTTACTAAAATTTTTGCATACTATGAAAATGAAATGCGTACGTACAGCAGTGAACTTAGGCGTTGTATTTTAATCATATATATATATATATATATATATATATATATATATATATTATTATTATTATTATTATTATTATTATTATTGTATCCTTTAGTTCCTAGAGGAACATAGGGCTTCAGCTGCGCACCTCCATTGACTTCGGTTTTTTGACAACTTTTTCACCCTGCTCCAGGTCTGCCCACATGCTTTCATCTCCTCTTCACATGACCTCCTCCAAGTCACCCTTGGACGACCAACTCGCCGCCTCCCTTTCGGGTTCCACTCGAGGGCTTGTCTAGTGATGTCACTTGTTGGTTTATATATATATATATATATATATATATATATATATATATATATATATAGGGTTATGTTGAAATAAAAAAGATAAATAAAGGCTAATTTTGTATTCGGTATACTATGTAATTAAATTAAATTAACTAGAACAGCTTTGACCAACAAACCTTTTGGAGATTTTTTATTTTAGCGTATGATGAATTATACATAAAGGATCAGACGCTAGTTGGAGCTGTTCAGTCAACACGGTGTGACTGAAACTTCCTATTCCCTGTTTTCAGTATAAGATCTGAATCTGTGTTGGTGAATGCTAGATTTAATGAATCGCATGTAACTGGGATAAGTTCTCTATGTAAATCGGTCATCGCGTGGGAGGCAAAGTAGGTATTTAGTTTTAAATGAGTATAAAAATCCATCAACCAAACGTAAATGAATTATAGGAACTAGATAGCCATACTGTGAAATGCATAACCTTATGTGCTAGATATTAGTAAAAGGCTATAGGATCTTATTAGCCTATTCAGGAATCTATAGTCAGTCAGATATTATCTTTAAACTTAAAGAATTAAGGAGACATTGACTATAAGTGGTGCACATGGGAGCCTTCAAATGAAAGCAGGGAGTTTAACAAATTGCTAATAGGTATGGCAGTTTCAGAACAGAATCTATCACTACGAAGGCGACCGTAAGATTATTTGCTTATATGCGACAGTGACAGTTGGGTTCATTAACCTCCAGACTTTCGTTTTGTTTAGCCGCCAATAGCACTGTAGAAAATTATTTATTTCCTGTTCAAAAATGTAAGAGAATGAAGCGGGTACACTGCAGCTAATTTAAAAGCTATTCTCCACCTTATTTGATGAAACTATTCAAAATTTAGTACAATTTTAAACGGATCTATTTATAATCTGATCTCTTATTTAAATGTGTCAGTGTTCCACAGTCAAAAACTAATGCAGATTAAACGAAACAATATTGAGTTTTAATTAATTGAAGTTTACCACTTTCAAGTTTTACAGTAGTGCAAAATATCGATTCAGTGTTATTTAGACTCATTCTTAATGATGACCGAATTTGTTTTGGTTAATTTTCCAGTATGGACACCAAGCTAGGAGATTTGACATCGTGACAAGAATAACTTATTGGTTTGGTAATCTTTCTGACTACAACACAGAGTTGCGTAAATTCTAGTCTCGTAAAGGATATCGATGTAGCAAGCACATTTTCCTGAACAGTGCCGGCTAGCGCGAGACGTAGGTGTAGAGCCTCCAATCATCAAATATTCCCTGCTAGATATAAACTTGTGCCACTCAGTGAAAAAGTCAAAAACTTTTCTGCTGAGCTACTTGGGCTACAACCGAATCCTAATAAAACTAATTAAACTATAGAAATTAACTGTTAGACGTCGAACTATGTAGTTATAGTTTTAAGGCACTGGTCAAAAACAGTGTACCGAGTATTCCAGGTAGAAGACAACAAACGAATATCACTTTATGTCAGTTATTGACTTTATTTGATTGCAGACTTCCAAAACAACGAACGAGAGGTCAAATGAATGCTTGCACAATGTTCAAAGTTAACATTCTTTAGAATTTATAGAGTAGGACCAGACTGCATACCTATTCAGTGTTTCTCAGATTTAAGTGACCTTCAGTGTGATGACATTCTACAGTCAGTTATATTTCGTCATGAAACGCTTCTTTAGTGAATTAGGCGATTTTGACTTCATCAATATATATATAATGTGAATAAATACTTAATATGTTTACCAAATGAAAGCTATCCTGTTATGTCAGTGTGATGTTGTAACAATAGTGCTGATTTGTAGGTTCGATACAAAAACTCATCACCGGTTAGGTTTGAATCCCTTGGACCACACAAATAAAAAACCGAAGACAGATTGGTCTGTGTCGGTGAGCACAATTCATTCTTATAAAACAGTATACACTAAATAATGCGTTCATCAGAAACTTCAATTAACTGGGAACCAATAGTTGACTTCCATCATCCTAGTTTAATTTTGACTCAGCCTGTCTGAGTTGGAATTAGCCTATGTTGACACATGTAAATTACTACTACTACTACTACTACTACTACTACTACTACTACTACTACTACTACTACTACTACTACTACTATACTACTACTACTACTACTACTACTACTACTACTACTACTACTACTACTACTACTACTACTACTACTACTACTACTACTACTACTACTACTACTACTACTACTACTACTACTACTACTACTACTACTACTACTACTACTACTACTACTACTACTACTACTACTACTACTACTACTACTACTACTACTACTACTACTACTACTACTACTACTACTACTACTACTACTACTACTACTACTACTACTACTACTACTACTACTACTACTACTACTACTACTACTACTACTACTACTACTACTACTACTACTACTACTACTACTACTACTACTACTACTACTACTACTACTACTACTACTACTACTACTACTACTACTACTACTACTACTACTACTACTACTACTACTACTACTACTACTACTACTACTACTACTACTACTACTACTACTACTACTACTACTACTACTACTACTACTACTACTACTACTACTACTACTACTACTACTACTACTACTACTACTACTACTACTACTACTACTACTACTACTACTACTACTACTACTACTACTACTACTACTACTACTACTACTACTACTACTACTACTACTACTACTACTACTACTACTACTACTACTACTACTACTACTACTACTACTACTACTACTACTACTACTACTACTACTACTACTACTACTACTACTACTACTACTACTACTACTACTACTACTACTACTACTACTACTACTACTACTACTACTACTACTACTACTACTACTACTACTACTACTACTACTACTACTACTACTACTACTACTACTACTACTACTACTACTACTACTACTACTACTACTACTACTACTACTACTACTACTACTACTACTACTACTACTACTACTACTACTACTACTACTACTACTACTACTACTACTACTACTACTACTACTACTACTACTACTACTACTACTACTACTACTACTACTACTACTACTACTACTACTACTACTACTACTACTACTACTACTACTACTACTACTACTACTACTACTACTACTACTACTACTACTACTACTACTACTACTACTACTACTACTACTACTACTACTACTACTACTACTACTACTACTACTACTACTACTACTACTACTACTACTACTACTACTACTACTACTACTACTACTACTACTACTACTACTACTACTACTACTACTACTACTACTACTACTACTACTACTACTACTACTACTACTACTACTACTACTACTACTACTACTACTACTACTACTACTACTACTACTACTACTACTACTACTACTACTACTACTACTACTACTACTACTACTACTACTACTACTACTACTACTACTACTACTACTACTACTACTACTACTACTACTACTACTACTACTACTACTACTACTACTACTACTACTACTACTACTACTACTACTACTACTACTACTACTACTACTACTACTACTACTACTACTACTACTACTACTACTACTACTACTACTACTACTACTACTACTACTACTACTACTACTACTACTACTACTACTACTACTACTACTACTACTACTACTACTACTACTACTACTACTACTACTACTACTACTACTACTACTACTACTACTACTACTACTACTACTACTACTACTACTACTACTACTACTACTACTACTACTACTACTACTACTACTACTACTACTACTACTACTACTACTACTACTACTACTACTACTACTACTACTACTACTACTACTACTACTACTACTACTACTACTACTACTACTACTACTACTACTACTACTACTACTACTACTACTACTACTACTACTACTACTACTACTACTACTACTACTACTACTACTACTACTACTACTACTACTACTACTACTACTACTACTACTACTACTACTACTACTACTACTACTACTACTACTACTACTACTACTACTACTACTACTACTACTACTACTACTACTACTACTACTACTACTACTACTACTACTACTACTACTACTACTACTACTACTACTACTACTACTACTACTACTACTACTACTACTACTACTACTACTACTACTACTACTACTACTACTACTACTACTACTACTACTACTACTACTACTACTACTACTACTACTACTACTACTACTACTACTACTACTACTACTACTACTACTACTACTACTACTACTACTACTACTACTACTACTACTACTACTACTACTACTACTACTACTACTACTACTACTACTACTACTACTACTACTACTACTACTACTACTACTACTACTACTACTACTACTACTACTACTACTACTACTACTACTACTACTACTACTACTACTACTACTACTACTACTACTACTACTACTACTACTACTACTACTACTACTACTACTACTACTACTACTACTACTACTACTACTACTACTACTACTACTACTACTACTACTACTACTACTACTACTACTACTACTACTACTACTACTACTACTACTACTACTACTACTACTACTACTACTATCGCTATCATATTTTTGCTAGCTTATGGTATAATCAACAGCTGTAATTTTTCTGGATAATATTTACACTACTTATTGTTATGAAGCCTCATTTTCCTCTGAAATTGTACTGTAATTTTGAATATGGTCGTCTTGGTTAGACTTTTCTATCATGAATGCAATGCAGTTTAACTTGAAATTATTCTATATTCACTAAAATCTGGACAAATGAAATAAATTTCCAATTTTTAAGCACATTTATTTTCATTATATGTAATCATATAATATACATTGGAATATGTTATCTAGCAAATATGTTAATGCTCTCTCCGAGAGTTATTTTCTGTCCAACTTAAAATGTCATTGGCTTGATTGTTTACTGTAAGTTTCTGAAAAAAATCCATTTCAGTACACAAATGTTGTTATTCTGTACTGATTCATTGATCTGAATGTTTAAATTCAATGATTTTATTCTGGTTATTTGACTGACATCAACAATTACTATACAATATATATATATCTTCCCAGTATAGTGCGATAAATGTGTTTTATGTACCCGGAAAAAGTGCTCTTTCGAAAAAGTTGTAAATATACAACCAACTGTTCATGTTGTCAATATTTTAGATTTATCGATGAAGATTTTTCAAATACTAGACCGTGACATGCATTAACCCACCTTTATATATGACTTCATTCGTATTAAGTGATAAATTCAACCACACTGACTGAAATGAACTACTTTCATTAGCAATATTGTTTAATTTTGTTGTTTTGAAGGTGAAGCAAGCAACTTGAAGAGATACCAGTGACTTAGAAGGGAAAACAAGCAACCAAGGATTGGACCTAAGCTCAAGGTTTGTCAATCAAGCTGTCTCATCCTGTTTAACATACAAGGATGCAGCAGCAGCCTAATGTAACAAGAGATACTATCTGACCAAGGACAGTGGCCTAAATTATTCAACGAACTAGGGCTTGACATCAACCATGTAAAGTGTATAGACTGTACAAGGACGCGCAATAACCTTATAGTTAACCACACCCATTGAAGGCTTTACTGAGCTCTGCTGAAGATGTTAGGAACACGTTATTACCCTCTTAATTCCCGGCTATGGATAAATCCTCCAATATATGAATAAGACCCAACAGCCCCTGTGCATTCAGGAAAGTACTGAGGAAGTTACTGGAACTAAATCCCTCGACCTCCACGGTGGTACAAGGTATTCCGAATTGGGAGAAAGGCATTCCTTCCGAGAAACACAGGAATGATGTGTAGCAGTGGAGAAGGATATCCTCTCAGACGGTCCTGCGCCATTCTAAGGCTAAATTTATCTAAAAACTGTCTTGTCTCACCCACCTCATATCGATTCGCCCAAAACAACTACCGGCTGCAGTACGAGATCAACGACGAGGTTAGCGGACATATTCAGTGACCTGAAAGACGACCTCGAAGCCAAGGGAAGTAGCAAACTGCAGCTTGCCCACATCAATTAATTACACTACACAGGTACAACAATGAGGACAACAATCAGGGTCACTCAAGTGTCTTAACTGACCCGGAAGGAAAAGCGACAACAGGCCGGTCTCTTCGACCAACCATAGTCAACCACTCTGCAGCAAGGATGTGGCGAGACTCACTATCAGCCCGCTGAATAGCAACATGAGATTGATAAAACATAAAGCAGCCCAACTCAGAGACTTGTAACCCTATCCGAACCTCAAAATAATAATAATAATAACAGAGACCTAGCTAGCCTCTACTACTACTAATACTACCAACAGGGATGTCAATGTGATCGATGTGGTCTTTGTCAGAAGAGACACGGTTGCCGTGTATGCAGGCAAGCAGATTTTATGCATACCATCAACGGACCGATCACTCACTCTCGGACTCAATATGGTGCCATTTCACCATCGGCTACACTAAGCGTTTAGTGGGTGGTACCTATCAACTACCTTCCTGTGGGGCAGGGCACAACCAGCTACTGTTCAGCAATATCAGATGGGTAAGGAACCTGTACTTTGACCAAATCACTATAACTACATACTTCAATGTCCCATCCCTAAACCTAGGGTTGGAGTTTGCTGAAGGAGAATCTGATAGTAATCTGTTGCACACCATTAGGAATGCCATGGTTGACTGAGAACCTTGAAGACGGCTTTAGTTGGGTCCTGATGGGGAGTTGTGAAATCAAGGCCCCTCCAGTGTCTGATCTAGTTCTTTGTAAGCCCTTATACTGGGATGCTATGCGATCCTGTTTATGCTATATCGAACCTAGTCACAGAATGCACCTGGGTGATGTGGGTAACACGTGGGCTAAATGGGTAATTTTGACCAACCAAGACGTGCTACATAGTTGATCTACTTTACCCGTACTGGCCACTTATTCCCACCTCCCAATATCCAATATCCTGATTACGAGCTAGTATAAACCAGTGATTTCTTTGAGCTCGCTTCTTGATTGTGAGGTAGAGGTTCCAGATCTTCGGTGAGCTTCTGCGTAGTAAGTCCCGCCACTCGACTGCTTTAGCTCTGGTAGACTCCAAGAGGAGTGGTGCGGGGATTGGTCGAGATGTGGTTTGTAGTATGCAGTATGTTAGGACTGTATTGCTGCCGTGAATGGAGTTTGACCTAACTCCCGTTGGTCATTCGGTGTAGTCATAAAAGCAGAATAGTAATAATAATAATAGGTTGTAGTGTAGATAATATAGGTTGAGATAAGTGGAATAATAAAGGTGACCTAAGGAAAAGATAGAGTGAGAGAAGGCAGAATAGGTCGTGGGGATTTAGTTTGTACGCTTATCCATTGACAGTGTGGTTTTAAGTTTTATGAGGATAAGCCATTGAGACACAAACCTTGCATTTCTGCATGATTGTCTAGCTTCCGCTTAAAAATCTCCAGAGAAGGCGCTGTAGTCACGGCCGCCGGTAAAGCGTTCCAGAGACGGCAAACACGAAGCGAAAAGAAATGTGATCGCACTCGAGTCTTTGGTCTCTGGTGTGCTATCCTTAGCGGGTTACCTCGTGGAAGCCTATAATCACTTAATGGCAGGATGCTTTTATTTGGGTGGGCCTGGTCATTTAGGATTTGGTAGACGGTGATGAGGTCTCCCCTGTGCCTTCGGTAACTAAGTGTGAAAAGACCTAATTTCTTTAGTCGTTCCTCATATGATTTGTTGCGGAGGCCGATCACCCATTTTGTCGCTCGTCTCTGGACACTTTCTAGAATGTTAGCATCCCTTTTGAGTAGCGGAGGTGCAATGATATTATGCACCTCAAGGTGTGGCCTCACATATGCCTTATATGACCTTAAGAACAGTTCGGGAGTGAGAGCTCCCAGCTGCCTATGCATAAAGTGAAAGTTGCGTAGGCTTTGGCGACGTCCCTCGAGTAATTTCCACTGGTGTCTAGCTTTTCTGTTAGAATAAGACCTAGGTCTCGCTCTGATTGAACACAACTCAAGTTCTGGCCACCAAGGGTGTAATTTACACTCTGTGACCTGCCGGAATGAAGTTGCACTACTTTGCACTTCTTTAGGTTGAAAGGCATTCCGTTAGCCAGAGCCCAGTTTCCCAGAGTTTGCAGGTCAGCCTGCAATCTATCTGAGTCTTCCGATGAGTTTATTGCTCTCCAAATCTTTACGTCGTCAGCGTAAAGAAGCGCAGAGCAGTTTAGTTGGGAGGGCAGGTCGTTGATAAAAATCAAAAACATCAACGGCCCTAGGATAGAACCCTGAGGAACCCCTGATGCCGAGGTGTGCCAGGATGATCGGATGCGGTTGACTTTGGTGCAGAATTCTCTCTCGCCTAAGTAATCTTTCAGCCATGCGAGAAGTGCTCCAGAAACACCCGCCTTGCTTATTTTGTGAAGGAGCAGACCATGGTGAACTGTGTCGAATGCTTTCGCAAAGTCGAGAAAGATCACGTGGGCTGGTACCTTTTTGTCCCAGGATAGTGTCCAATCGTTCCAAGCTAGTAGAAGATTCGTCACGCAGGATCTTCCCCTCCTGAAACCGTGCTGTGCTTCGTGAAGAAGGTTAGTCCCATCGAAGTATTTTCTCATGTGGTCGTCAATGAGACTTTCCAATATCTTCGATATCACTGGAAGTAGAGCAACTGGTCTGTAACTGGTCGCATTCTGCCGGTTACCACCCTTGAAGATAGGGGATAGGATTGCTCGTTTCCATTCACATGGAAGTTTCCCTACATCAAGGGAGTGTTGGAACAGATCACTTAGGGGTTGGCAGAGACTTTCTGAACACTGCTTCAGGACAGATGGTCTGATGTCATCACAACCTGAAGACTTTCCCGAAGCCAACCTTCCCAATTTTGCAAGTACCATAGCCGGGGTAATTTGAAATGTACCCAGCAGGTTTTTGTGCGTTGGTTTTGCGATGTAATCTTGATGTTCTGTGGGGGTAATATCCTCGTTACTGTTTAGTTGCCTGTGAAAGGCTAGGCTGAATGTCTCTGCCATTTCAAGACTAGTAAGAGATTTCCCATCAGAACCCACTAGATTGCATGCTCCCTGGTTGGTCGGTTTTCTTTCGGACATAAACCTGTATAGGCTTTGGGGTTCACGAGAAGCTTATTCATGTTTAAATGGAAAACATCCCACCTAACTTAAATTTGAAGGAAAAACTGCTCAAGTGTTTGCCCTAATATCCCAGGTCCCAAAAAAATTCACTAACTGGGGGAGCTAACCACATCAAATTGAGAATAGCGGAAACTCTAAAATATAGCAGCCAAAACTGAAACTGCCCAGCGAACGGACAAATGACCTTGAGCAACCAACCAATATCCAATATCATTTTTACGAGCTAGTATAAACCAATTTGATTTCTTTGTGCTCGCCTCTTGATTGTGAGGTATAGGTTCTTGATCTTCGGTAAACTTCTGCGTAGCTTGTCCCGCCACTCGACTGTCGTAGCTTTGGTTGACTCCAAAGGGAGTAGTGCTGGGATTAATTATATGTGGTTTGTAGTATGAGGTATGTTAAGACTGTTACTACTGTGATTGGAGTTGATCCTTTCGCCAGTTAGTCCTTCGGTATTGTCGACAAGAGAAAAGAGATAGTAATAATA